CATTTAATTGTTTCATGTGATTGTTGAGTTATGCAGTTTTTCGTGAAGGCAATTTTTTTCGTTACACACTGTATATAAGATCTAGATGATCATGTAACAATTTTATATATTAACTAGATGAATGCTTTATGACAGTGACTTCGTCACTAGTGTTACTTGTTATTTACTGTTTTAAAGTCTCTATTCAAATAAAAGTTACTATTTGAAGAAAAATTTCTGGCCTTCGGCAAAGTTGAATGATTTTAATATTGTTATTTAATCACCAATAAAATAATTGGATCACGGAAAATATCTCAGACAACGGAGAAACAAATATTCTGATGTAACAGACCTTTAATTCTCAGATTAAATTCAAACAAAAGAATTTAAATTATTGGATCACTTTAGAAATAACTTGAAAATAGTTCTACACAGAAAGTTCAAGTAATACATTTAATTAGGAATAATAAATAATATTGTCCTTATCTTTGTCCTTGTTGTTGACTTGAATATTGTATTTTTGTAATGATAATAAATCTATCTCTAACAATGAATCCACACCAAATCCCATGCATAATCATTTTTTCTCTTATTTTATATCTGTACATTTTTTTTATTTCTTCTCTTTTCTTTTATTGAGGTGATATTTAATGAATTTTATTTAGTAGTTTTGGGAACACACCTGACTTGAGTATGGAACAACAGCTAAGGAGGGCACCCACTAAGAAACGTGATCAGTAGTGTAAAATCTAAAAAAGATATTGTTTAGTACAGGAAATTGTTTAATGATAGTGAAAGATAGTTTTGAGAGTAAAAACATGCCAGAAATTGTTGTTACGATTTAGTATAAATAAATGATATTAGATTAGTAAAAAAAGTAGTTAATTTAATTTTTTGAAATTTAAAAAATCCCACTTGCGTAACAATAATTTTTTTAAAAAAAACAAAGGAAACAATTTTTTTTGTTAAAATCCTTAAAAATAAAGATATTTATTACTAATAAAAAAGAATTATTAAATTTCCCACTTGCGTAACGAAAAAAAAATTTTTTGCCTTAGTATTAATGAAGAATTGTTAATTTCTCGCTTGCGTAACAATAATTTTTTTAAACAAATTTTTGCCTCCAGCGAATGAAAAATGAAAAAACAACTGATTTTTTGTTTTTTACCTTCAGAGAAATGAAAAAACTGATTGATTTTTTGCA